AAATCTGAGCTCTCAGTACCAGTTAGAGAAAAGCAGGAAGCTTTAGTCAGTAGCTTAACAACTGTTAAATCTATCTGCATGTAATTTGAAAGTGAAAGTGACATTTGACAGGGTTAAAGTTCTGCTGAAATAGAATGTCATTCTGTTGTTTAAGGTTCTGAATCTCAAGTACTGGAAAAGTAATCATATAAATGAATCATTTCATTTAAAATCATGATGACATTTATGATATAATTCGTTCGATGTTAATAGTTAAAGTAAGACAGTTACTATTTGTGTTCATACTTGTTAAAGTGACTTCCAGTTGACATAGTTCTTTTGATGTAATTTGTTTTTGAATCACTGAACAGAGTGAAGAAATAAAACAAAACTTTGGTTGGAATTGTAGAACTTTATTCACAAAATATTACAGTGAAATTACATGGGTCTGGCTAGTAACTGTTTTATTTTTCTAGTAAAAGAAAATATTTGCTTTTCAAAGGTCATGTAGAGCCCTGCTGTTTTTTTAATAATATAGCAGTCGACATGCCGCCCAGATAGATCTGTCAGAAAACACAAAGTTAGGACATTTCAGTCAGGTTGGCCGAATACTCATCGGTTATGGCTGACTTATGACAGGGAAGGTGATTTAATATTTTGTAAACTATGTACTGAATATGATATGACACGAGATGCTAAATGCAGAAATTATAAAAATACAACTTTGACCAGACATCTCATCATAATGATAATAAACTGTCCGTTCAGGCTCCAAAACAAGACAAAGCAGCTGTCTCCGTGATGAAATCTGTTCATTGGTTACCTTGTGAAAACATCCCGCTGACAAAGTTTAAACGTTTTGTTGACTTTTTATATGAATTTGAAAACGAAGACATTGAAATTCTTATGGAAGGTAAAATCAGCTATGATTCTCCAACAACTGCCAGTGATCTGTTAACATCTGTGTCTGCTGTGATAGGGTATGAACTACAAGTTAAAATGGAAGAGTCTCCATTTGTTGCGATTTAGGTACTACCAGCTCTGTTCTGGGAAATATCCCAGACCGGACAGACTCACCTGTGCAACCTATAGTAACAACAAACGAGTTTGAATAATATTTGTGGTATTAATTTTTGTTAGGGACTCATAAAAGTTCTGAGGACTCATAGTTATTCCGCTCAGTGAGTCCCGGGACTCAGGCAGTTGAATTTGTAGATTTATCACTGCCATAATCCAGAGGGAATGTTTACGCCTTAATTAGGAACAATTACATTTATTGTTAGTAATTGTTAGTAAACTTACCTCTGGATTATGGGGTATATGTCCCGCCCTTCCTCCCCACCTTTCCTTTAGAAGATAAGTGTTTTTTAACTGTTTTTTTTCATAAAATTTGTGAGGATTTTCAACCTACTATACAGTGACGTCTAGGTCAGGGGGAGGTAACTCTGTCAGTTGGAAGAGCATACCACTAGGGATAGCTTTGACTAAGTGTTAAAATTTTCACTTCATTCTGTATGTGTCTGTGGAAACCACAGAATTAGGCAACCATAATCCAGAGGTAAGTTTACTAACAATTACTAACAATAAATGTAATTGTTCCTTATTCGCCGTAAAGAGGAATGAGACCGACAACATACACTAGTGCGTGTGTGCAAATTATGATTCACATTGGCAAACTATAAAATGTCTAGTTACAGTCCTGTTATAAATTCACTATAAGTATCAGCAGATGGCCTGCTTTTTATTAAGTTTCAAAATGCATACAAGTAGGATAATAAGACCAAATATAAAGACGTACATTGACTAGTATCTACATACTGGTGAGTGGACGTTAACCACGTGAATGTAGCAAGAAATATATCGAGCAGTATTGTCACTTCGACCCCCACCTCGCTTCCGTGGAAGAAATCGTTATGTTACAAGTTGTGTCATGCAAAATCCTTTTGGTCATGATTCAAATACATATTTAGCTACGAGTAGAAAGTAGTTTTGATTTTCTAACTTGATGAACACAAACCATATTCTCATTAATTCTAACAGACTTTAGCCGTGACTTCACGATTTTTAAAAATGGCGGCGCCCTGTCACAAACATCCACCAGTCTGAGAATAAATGCTATCTAGGTTTGTTTTCACCGAGTTACAAAATCAAAACTACTTTCTACTGGTAGTAAAATATGTATTTGATTGATGGCCAATAGGATTTTGCATGACATAGCTTATAACATAACAATTTCTGTCATGGAAGCGCGGTGGGTGTCAATATAATACTACTTACAATATTATTGTCACTTCGACCACAACCTCGCTTCCGAGGAAGAAATCGTTATTTTACAAGTTGCGTCATGGAAAATCTTTTGGGTCATCAATCATATACATATTTTACTACAACTAGTAAGTAGTTTTGATTCTTTAACTTCCGTGAAGCGATCTGAACACAAGTAAGATATCGTTCCAGGCTTCCACAACACTCGCTTCTCACTCACAAACATAACCCATTTAGCACGAACTACGGGGTCCGGTGGAAATCAGTGCATGGTGACACCATAACCCGACCCCAAGGAGCAATTGACGGCAATGCAACGATTCGGCATGACTTCGTTGACGTCAATAAATCAGCAAAATGACGAGCTTGTTACACACTTTATATACAAATAACTGAAAATCTTTCCTCATATGATGTCACTTCCGGTTTGCTGCAGTGCTTTGGCAACAGAGTTACGTAACCTCTCTGTTGTTTCGTTTGCAAGCGAGAGTGAAACAGGCGACTTTTTGGCAACTTTTAATCGCTTGGTATTAATTAACCACAAGTTTTTTAAGAAACTTTGTGCTCTGCTTAAAACTAACCACACGTTATGTAATGGTTAAAAGAGCACAAAAAACAAAATTTTATTTGTTCTTTAAGGTCAATATGGTTAAGAAATTATTAATTTATCTTCACGCATAAAATAGTTACAAAGCCTTTTATGACATATTCCCATATGGGAACATTGGCATGAAAATGGTTAAATAGCCATATATGGAACTGTAACGTAAAATACCGTAACATAGAATAGATAACGTAAAATACATCAGTCATTATTATGAGCCACGCCAGTTAAACAAATGATATATTAATAATAATAATAAGTCATCTTCTATAGTGCACAAGTGATTGCTAAATCAGAATCTGATGGTTATTACCCCGGATAACCCAAGCTGCCTGTTAGGCGCTAGAAGGTTATAGTCACATGACTTTATCCAACCAGGTACCCAGTTTCTGCTGGGTGAACAGAGGCAATTCTGAACAAACTCACTTGCCTAAGGTGAGACCACATGTATCACATGTGCTTCGTTGTGGGGCAGGACTGAAGTCCTAGAAACTCTCAGGATTCAAGCTGCCAAACACGGGCACCCATCCAAGGACTGTCCGAGCTCGACATTGTTTAACTTCAACTGATTTGTGACCTGAGCTCTGTGCACAGGACCACACGCCACCATATTGTGAATATAGGAGACGGGAAAAGGAAAAAGGTTCCGTACTCCTTACCAGATAATCATATAGATGTGCTCAGGTTATGTATAAGGTCTTATAATGTCGTAAATTAAAATACACCCTTATCTATACTGTATATGCATTGTATCTTCCCAACATATTTATAGTTTAACAAGTTATTACAACAAATGGATTTGATATTCAGTGTCTTCAACAAAGCATGAGCGATTACTTTTTTAAAGTTACTGGATGTATTTTTTTTTCTCTTTTGATGTTGTTTTCTTTCTTTTTAAGCATAACGTAAAATACAAAAGAATTGGCAACAATGGAATTTCATGAAAATGTGATTATAATACCCTCAAATATTAGGTTAAATGACTACCTCAGTAAAATTCGGCATGATATCTTCCACATGATGCATGAAAAGATAACATGCACTATCACTAGTGTTATTTTTTATGCAACAAATATACACAGTCACTGGCGAGATGGAACTTATAACTACAATGGGATGTTATACATATCGTAAGAATAAATTTTTTATGTATTATGGAAATGGTAATGGTAAATTAACACAGAATACCCAGTGTACCTTTATTTCCAAACTAATTTTTGTGAAGAAATTCAATATATTTGCACTTATAATCATGTGACAACACAACAGAGTAAATGTGCATGTTGAGTGAGAATGAGATATTGACCGATGTTTTCAAACTGACCTGGGGAACCCCTCAATGCACCTAAAATTTCTGGCATCTTTGCACCGGCACCTTTGCATGTTGGCTTCACTTCCCCCTTCTGCCATCTTTGTAGATTAGGAAAAAACTATGCAATTTTTTTTTTTTTTGTCATTTGCAGTGCAGTGCAAGTATGCACGTCTTGTACCCTAAGCCTTGGCGATTGTAGCATCATTCTAAGGGAGCTAACTCTATTCTACTGTAGGGGGGTATGAAAAAGTGAAGTTGTCGTCAAAGGGAGGTAACTCTTGTCCTAACTCAATCGGGTGGTAGACACCAGTCATCATATCTTAAGTGCATAGATAAATGCTCTTACTGTTGATCACTGGATTTTCTGGTCGAAACTTAATTATTTACAGACCACAGGATTATTGCTGAATGCAAACAACGACCAAATTGCAAATCACTACTTAGGTATTATAGTCGCAGTACAAATTCTAAGGCAGCATAATACAAATAGCAGTGATTATATCTTAATGGTAATATTCACCTGACTGCAACAAAGGCTGATTATCCTTGTAAGGAATGATCTCCACACAATTGCTGAACTTGAGGTGTAATGTGAGATGAGAAGCAAGAGTCTCCATACTATCTGAGAAAAAGACTCCAGAAGATTTCCAACTCCATGGATCAGAATATAGTGGAACAACCCAGATCTCAGTCTAAATGTAGCACAAGTCTAAATATAGCCACAAATACACTTGGAACACTGTTACACAATGAATAAAACTGTGGTGGGACACCACCCACATTCCTTTGTCACCTGTTCACCACAAAGAGACATATACTATAATGTTCTTCTTGTTACAGAATGCCAATGATAGTCTGACTGATGTGGATCTCAGCTGGAATGCCATTAGAAACAAGGGTGCAGTAGCCATTGCAAAGGCTTTGAAGGTGAGGCATTTACAAAAATATTTCATGAATTTTCTTTTGTTTTACAGAAGATGTATATATTTATCTTGCCGCACACACAAATGTCATTTTCTGATTGGCTGAGCCAATACAAGCGAGTAACATTTTCTATGTTACCCTGCTGGAAATGCTGAACTGTGGGAATTTGTTTGGTACTTTGTGTTAGTAGTGTTTGGACTGTTACCTAACTTCTGTATTCCTTATTATGATCCAATACCTGTGCTTCAAACAGTTCAAAATTAACATTGAGGTATTTGGTAAGATAAATATGTTATTCACTGGTCCCTCGGGGCCCCTTGGATTGATGTACCCTCTATGTACCTTCGGGCTCAGGAAAACATAAAGAAACGTAGATTGTATATTGACCATTGTACCCCTTGTGACCAGTGTGTGTGTATGTATTTGTGTATGTGTGTATATACATATATAACCCATGGGTCCTGGGTAACATAGAAAATGCGGGGTACATTGATTGGTTCAGCCAATCAGAAAACGACATTTATGTGTGATGTAAGATGAATATATATATGTAAGAATCTGTATACCAGTCATTGCTCACTGTTTGTGTTTCGCATTTTAATCCCAAATAGATAAAGTTTACAAATTAATACAAGTCACTGCAAACAAATTACAATGGCATACAAATAAACTGAAAATGTAAAATAAATATTAATGCAACAACATTCTGTAACATGCTAGGAGAGGCTACACTGGAATATTCCGGCTGCCCTAAGCAGCTTCCAGACCAGGCTCAACTCCGAGTCTAAATAATGTAACTAGACACTTTTCAACAATGAATAACAAACTTACAAAACAGTATGAAAGCTGTTTGCTCTTCTGATCTAGACAAATGCAACCTTGGAAGTTCTTGACCTTTCATGGAATGGCTTTGGATCCCCTGGAGCAGAATCACTTCAACAGGCCCTTCAAGTGAATACAACACTTAAAGCATTAGATCTCACGTAAGTTATCTAGCTAGATTAGTTTGGCTTAGCAGGGAGAGAAACATTTCAAAATTTCCCACTAGACCACAGGACCAGTGAGTGGACAATAACTAGTAGTCCTGTCTGTACTTCACTGGTCCAAAATAACATTCATAGATTTATGTAACTATCAACACAGAATTCACTGGCCACTAGGACCACTGTCATTTAGTGGTCCTGATGAGTTTTTACTAGCCAGGGACAAAAGGACCAGTGTAAATTTCGCACAATGCTAACTGATTGTATATTTTTGTGAAAACTAACTGATGTTCATCTAAAGTCATTAAAATCACCATACTCTTACTTTTACAATATTAAAATACATATGAGCTCTCATAAAGAGCTCTCAGTTTCATTGGACCAATAGCCAGGTTTTATAATAACCTATAATGAAAAAATAAACAAATGGAAATAAAGTCATGTATTCAGGCATGAGAACAGCTAAATTTAATTTTGGAGGAAAATTATAATAAGTGCTTAGTCACAGTGTAGTTAAGCCTGACGTAACGACCCTACGTCTGGGCGTAAGCGTGCTATAACTAGATTTCGAACTTTTGAAATCATGGGAAATCGCGCCAAAGAACATCGTGGCATTCTTTGATTGATCCATGATGGCCGATTCACGTAAGCAACGGAAACCTAACTTCACTGAAGGTGAATTAATTTGTCTGTTAGATATGTACAATAATAGGAAGAATATGCTGCAGTCAAGGCTCACAAACTCGGTGACGAATAGACAAAAACAAGAAGAATGGAGAAAGATCGCGGCCGTGATCAACTCCCGGTCAGCTGGGACGTTGAAGACAAAAAGAAGAAGCGGAAAGACTTGCTCAGAAGGGCCAAGAGGAACGTCAGTGCCATGAAGAACTCGGCTACTGGGGTGGGATCCCAACCTAAGGAGTCAACATACACCTTGTGGGTGTTGGACATAATCTCGTCTGACTCGTCCTCGCTTGTCGGGATAGAGGAGGGTATTGAGTCCGGTCAACCTGACACTGCACTTGACCTCTCTCAGACGTTGACCGGGTCCCCAGTTCCATCAACATCAGCTACTGGTGTCCACTGTAGATCTCCGGCACCACTCAGCACCCCTAGGCCTACAGTATCATGTGATCCGTCAACGACTCTGTGGTATGTAAATCTACTTGTATAGATATCAATAATATTTATCGATTATGCAGACCTCGGGGACGCAAGGGGAAGTAATTAGTCCATTGCATAAGGATGTCGCCTGTAGAGGATCCGAGTTCAATCCACGCATTATTGTTCTATCGGTTTTTACTATTAATATGGCAAAATGTATTTACTTCAAGTCATATTTCATTTAATTTACGGACAGTTGTGCGTCTCGCGATCGTCCGGTGCAAGCAGTAAAGAGGAAAGTGACAGTGATGTTCTTTACAGGCTGATCCTGGAGATTGAGACAGCTAAAGTGGAGACCGAGAGGGCACAAGCAGAAATTGAGAGGGTCAGGGAGGAGACAGTCAAACTTAAACTTGAGATTAAGTTGTTAGAGAGACAACTGGAATCAGAGGTTTTCACCATACCTATTCAGGCACTTTCTGAGAGCTGAACTGCTGAATACATGTCCTTTATTCGACATAGTAATAAACCAATGAAAATGATTAAAACATTTTAAGAACTTTTTATATCATTGAGTTTTCATCTTGTCAACATTGAATATTATCTCCGTCATACTCATTAATGTATACAATTATTATACTGTAATCAGAATCTTCATAATGAATAAACTCCATATACATGTAATTCCATATATACATACCGTATATTACCGTCTGTAGTGTTTGCCAGGGCAGAGTTCCTCACATGCACAGACAAGAGACACGTCTTGACAGTCCCATACTTTATTCGTTACTACCCCATACAGGCCACGCCACGCCACTTCCGGTCACCCAGATAATACTAGTTGTACAACTTATTATCACCAATAGACTACACAGTCTATGAGCCGAATTTTGAGGATAAAAAAAAGCAGTCCGTAGAAGGGGAGTTACGCTTTCGACAAACTTTTTCCAGGGGTCACTCGTCACGCCGAAGAAACGGGTTCGATTCCCCACATGGGCACAATGTGTTAAGCCCATTTCTGGTGTCCCCCGCCGTGATATTGCTGGAATATTGCTAAAAGCGGCGTAAAACTAAACTCAGTCAGTCAGTCAGTTTTTCCAGGGGTAAGAAAACAACATTGTATCACTTCAGTGAACAAACAACAGAAGACAACTTTGTCAGTAAAGACGTCAAATTTGCAATTAAACATCACTAGACAAGATTATTTACCTTTTAAGTTCTAAGTTGTTTTGCTGGGCATTGTATTATTTGCAGGGATTAAGATTACTGTGTGTATTTGAGCCGGACATCGCAATCAGCAGTGCACACGTTTCCCAGCGATCAAGTTCAAACATGCACAATAATATAAAGGGATGAATTCTGACGCAGTCATCAGTAAAACACAGAACACTATTATTAAACCCAAGGAAATATATCCTAGCATTGTGTAATTTTGATTACAGTTTTTGCTCTATAAATTATTATTATCCATTTTCTGTCAACTACACTTCATTTCGATGCGTGAGTAGACGCAACATGATTGTGAATTCTTTGAATAATGTGGACCAAAGTTATAATTATTAGTAACTGCCAGTTGTCTGTGGTCTGTGTTTGCCAGGATTAGGACCCCCATCACGGGGAGATCGGCTTATGTACGAAACATACCATTTTGACACTGATTTAAGGGTCAAGTGGGGTGGGCTTATAGACGGTAATATACAGTATGCGTGACAACTGCTGAAATATTTACAAACACATTTCATGTACTGCAGTACACATTTAGACACGACATATATTTGGTTCAATTATTTTTCAGATAAAACCAGCATGAACTACTTACACTTGAAAATAACTTTATTGAGATATCTTCAACCAGTTTCAAGTTATGGTCAGGAAATGAAGTGTGAACGCTGACGGAGGGACGGACAGTACTCATTCCTCTATCCCTCTCGGTGTTATTTTAGATTCCAAACTTTCGTTTTCAAAACACATTTACAAAAAGGCCAACAGCAACTTTATTTCCTTCGCTGCTTAAGAAACATTTCTATTGACAAAACCATAATTTTCTCAAACCTTTATTCAAAATGTGGTGACCTACAATTTTTTATGTTGGTATTCAGGTCTGTCTCAGGGGTGGAAATAACCCATTGCCCGACGTCCGAGTCCAGTGTGTTTTTTTCTGTCGGGCAAGCAAATTTGTATGTCACACTGTACCGGTGTCCAGGTGACTTTCCAATGTTAATTATGTTGTTTATTTAAAAAATCAACAAGAAAACTGCCGGTCTAGTGGAAAAATTATCAGGGCAAGTGATTTTACATGTGCCACTCTACCAGAATACACTAGCAATTTTAAAGTTATTTCTACCCCTGTGTCTGCATGCAACAAAAACAAACTTTTCAAAATTGATGTCCAAGATATTTTTTATTTTCAAAATTGTTAATACTGCTTGCAAAATTACTGGAGTGTCTTTCGAGTATATTCCCTTTATTTATGAGCGCCAGATTGTCAAAAAGGCAACTAAAATTAGAATTGATAGTTCACATATTTGATCTCACCAGTTTGAACTACTTCCATGTATACCGCTTTCTATTACCTTTGCTTAAAACAAACAGAGCTCAACAGTCCTTCTTACCATCCAGTATTCGTGTTATTAATGCAACAAATGTTTTTGAATAGTCATCATGCATGCTATAACTACTAACTCAGCCTCTTTACCTATGTGGTTAATTGTATGGAATCTTCATCATTCATTTGTGCATGTAATTATTGTGTATATTTTTGTGAACTTTGTATATATTCATTTTCAAGATGTTTGGATACAAAAGAATGTCCTCCGTGATAATAAGGTTATATCTTATCTCTTCCACTTCGTGGCGGGGGTTAAATAGTACATAATACTGGATCACTTGAAGGAAACTTCTTTGACAGAAGTATTTCTTACGAGGGGGGACCACTTGCTGGTAGGACAGCCAGGTAATCAACAAGCGTGTGTAATGAAATTTCAATTTCACGCGTGCAACTCGCACACCTGACTGTTCTACCGGCAGGTGGTCTCTCCTCATAAGAAATAGCAACGAGTGACAACAAAATAATGATCGTTTGTTTAACAACTTTTTTATTCGGGTGTTCAAAATTATGATACAAATCATCAGAGTTGGTCTGTTGATTTCATGGAACTTTGTAATATTTGGTTTTGTTGCATTTATTAGATTTTGTGTTAGTGAGCAAATCATCGGTCTAAAATGAAATCAAACGGACTATACCTGTGGCGTCCTTGATGGATTTGAGCCTTTTCAATACTATGTGGTCAGTGTAGACTGTAAATTTGGAATTTGCAACGTATGGAGGACGAAATGATCTAATGGCTTCAGCTAAAGCTAAACCCTCTTTTTCTGTTATGCTCCAGTTCTTCTCACTGCCATGAAGAGCTCTTCCACCAAAAGCTATAGAATGTTCATTATTCTTCTCGTCTTTTTGAATGAAAAAGTCAAATTCTGGATAAGTCAGAACAGGTGGGTGTTTGAGTGTGTTGAAGCCGGATCACACTGAAGTGACTTTGGTTTCTTTCCAGTTTCTGCCTCTGAATGCTTTTTTAACAATGCATTCAATGGCAGCGATATTTTAGCATAATCTTGTTTGTGAGTTGTAAAAATGAACGAACCTGTTTTTATGATTTGGGTACTGGGAAGGTTTTAATTGCTTCGACCATGTCATTGACTTGGACACATGACCCAGAAATGAAACCTTGTCTGTTGCAAAATTGCATTTTGATGGCTTCAGTGTTAATTTTGCTTGTTTGAGATAGTAGAAGACATTGCTCCAAATGTTGGAGATGCTCTTCAATTTTTTTGCTGTAGACTTTCAGATCATCTGTGTAAATCAGCACAACTTTAAAAAGCAATATTCTTACCTC